AGGAAGTGGGAAGACAGCTATTGCATTGTGAGAAATTATAGTCATGAGACAAAGTGTATGTGAACTGCTGTATGGAAAATTAATTTGCTCCATATACTTTCACCCAAAACACAATAAAAATTAAAAACAAAACCAAACAAGAACCATTCAATTGTCCAAACGAGGGACACAGCACTAAGGAAATCTTTCAACTTTACTCTATATTTATTTGCATTGTTATATTTTTGGATAATCCTTTCTGAGTGGTTGGATAGTAAAACAGTGGGTAAAATAGCTGATGGGACATGGTTCAGTTCAACAAGAATTTATGGGGGGTTCACACACACACACATACATACACACACAGAGAAAGTGAGAGAAAGAGTGAGACCATCCTGAGTTGCGATTAGACTACAAAGGTGCTTGACTCAGTTAAGTTATTAACCTCCTCGAGCCTTGGTTTCCATATTGGAAAATGGGGATAATACTACCTTACAGGGCTGTTGTGAGAATCAGTAACCTAAGTGAGCCTTTCTGCATGAATGCTAACATGCGAGAGGGGCCCAACTAAACCGAGGAGGACAGTGAAGTACAGTGCTTTTCAAACTGCAGGTGCAACCAATGGATCATGAAATCAATTTTGTCAGTTGTGACTATCATTTTTTTCTTTTATCTAAATTATAATAGAATGAAGTAGAAAATATCAGGGCATAGAGCACAGAGTAAGAACAGTATTGTTTTGTGAAATGTCATTTCCTTTTGTGTGTCTGATGTAAAACAGAGTTCTTACTGTGAATTACAGTCAGTATAGTTTTAAAGTCCCAGGGGAAGATAACAGACACTCAGAATCAGGAGTTGGGTACCTCCCTAAATCTAATTTGAGTCCTGGTCCTGCTGCTTACTAATTCTGTGGGTTTAGCTCTCTGTGCCTCTGCTTTTAAATTCGTCAAATGAGGACAACAGAATTGTTTTGAGGATGAAATGAAAGACGGTAGGGGAAGTGGCTAAAACATGTTAAGGATTCCACAAATGTTAAGAATTATTATGAATACTGTGTGACTTGTCAGGGATTGCACTGAGCACTAGAGCAATAGAAATTAGAGACATAGCCCCTTTCCATCAAGGAGAGGTAGAAAATAGCAAGGAATGTGGTGAAGGATGAGAAAAAAATGTCAGTGGCCTTCATAGGGTATTGCAAAGTATTGGGAGGGCACAGAGCAGTGGTAGAGAAAGCTGCTAAGAGCTGGCAGAAGGGAGCCAGAAAACAAAAGGGAAAGTGATATGTTCACCTCTTGCTCCTGTGGACATCAGATTTCTCCATCAGGCTTTTCCCTCCAAAGCAAAACCAAACTCACTGCCACTGAGTCGAATTCGACTCAAAGCGACCCCTCCTTAGGTTTCTGAGGCAGTATCACTACGGAAGTAGATTGCGCAACCTTCCTTCCGAGGAATGGCTGGTGAGTTTGAACTACCAGCCTTCTGGTTAGCAGTCAAATGCTTTAGGCACTATGCCACCAGAGCTGCCAATAATAATAATAGGTACTACCTCATAGACTTGCTGTGAAGATTTAATTGGATAAGAAAATACTTGTGGCCAATGCTTGATTCTTAGGAATAATAAATAGTACCTAATGATAATAATCGGAAGGAATGTGGTAAGTGATGAGAAAAAATGTCAGTGATAATAATATTACCTAATGATAATAATAGGTACTATTTATTATTCTGATGCATCAGGTACTGGCCACAAGTATTTTCTCATTCAATTAAACCTTCACAACAAATCTGTGACGTATGATATGTGACATACTACTAATCCTGATTTAAAGACAAGGAACCTGAAGCTGGTATGCTAAGTGACCTTCTGAAGGCCACATACTTGTATATGCAGAACCGTAATACACTAACTCCTCACTTCCAATACTTTACATTTATGACAATAATAATAATAATAATAATAAAATCTACCCTGACTTATTTTGCACACTAACAACATACATCTGGCTATAATAAATGCAAAGGTACAAGGCAAGAGTAACACACTGGCTGTAATGGTTAAGGCTATGTGTCAACTTGACTGGGCCATGATTCTCAGTGTTTTGGAAGTTATGTAATGATGTAAATTGATAGTTACATAATGATGCAATCATCAGCCATTTTGTGATCTGACGTGGTCATACTTCATATTCACAGAACACTGATTTTTGCATAATGACCTGGTCTTTGGAACTTAACCACACTGTTCAGTGAGGAATGGGTGTATAAATTTGGGTTGTATTGACTCTCAGAGTCTATGCTTTAAAAATTCTATCCTGTGCTACCTTCAGAACAACTTCCTGGGGCCCTTTATGTGTTGCACACTCTCTTCAGAGTATATTTTTATTATTAAACAACATTGCACCTTGGAAACAGGCCTATAAAGTGAAAAAATAAAGGTTCTGTGTTTACAGTGGTTGGTGATCATTATCTACATGGATACAAAGCTTAGCACTGTTTTGTAAGCACCTTCTCTGCAGTATATACGTGGAGCATGCTCACAATTGGGTGGAAACTTAGGGAACAAAACCCAAAGCTGGTGATGTCAAGGTATATTTAGTCTTTGCTCAGATGTGCTTCCAAAACATTACTAGCAGAGCCAAGAATCATCTAACATTATTTCTTTATTTAGTGTTCTTTCATGTATACAAGCGTACAAACATTTCTTATTAAGAAGAATTAAAAGTAATGCAGGGCATGTTTCTAGATCCTTTCATCCAAGAATATGAAAGCATTTTACAGACACACCCATTATCTCTGCTAAGGAAATCTCATCAGGCCCATTTCAGAGATGAGTAGGACTAAAGTACATACAACACAGGAACTGAAACTCTTATTTCTACTATAACCACTAAGTCATACTTTCATTTTGTTGTTGTTGTTGTTATGTACCGTCAAGTGGGACCCGACTCACAGTGACTCCTCCTTGGGTTTCTGAGGCGGTATCACTACTGAAGTACATTGCCCAACCTTTCTTCTGAGGAGTAGCTGGTGGGTGTGAACCACCAGCCTTCTGGTTAGCACTCAAGTGCCTTAGGCACTACGCTAGCAGAGCTCCTTATACTCTCAATAGCCAGAGTGAATCTTTAATACAGGGATTGCGTGTGTTGAAAACTCTTCCTATTTTTCCTGAAAAGGGTATCTTGGTTTCAAAATTACTTAGAGTAATTTGAATTACTTTAGAAGTTAATGGTAGGTAGCAATAACTGTCCTTGGACATAAAAATTACCTTCTCCTTCTATTTGGTTGTCATGTTCTATAGGCTTCTGGAGCTCTGATAGCATAGTGCCTAAGGCATCTGACTGCTAAGCAGAAGGCTAGCAGTGCAAATCTGCCAGCCGTTCCTCAAAAGGAAGATGGGGCAATCTACTTCTGTAGTGATACTGCCTTGGAAACCCGAGGAAGGGTTGCTATGAGTTGGGGCCGACTCAATGGCAGTGAGTTTGGTTGGTTTTTGGTTAAGAGCTCCTCATGTCCACATTCTCAGAAGGCACACTTGCCTGGCTCTCTGTCTTATCTCCTTGCCATGTTTCTCACGTCAAGTGTGTATATGTGTAAGTATTCTGTGTATATTCTGTGTATATGTTTATTGTGTGTATACATGTGTATGTTCCTTGGCTCCCTTGATGGGCAGATAACTGTAGAATGTAAGATAGCCCAAAATTAAAAAAAAGAAAAAAAAAAAAAAAAAAAGCAGCAGCAGCAGCAGCAGCCAATATGGAGGTGACTTTGTGTTAAGTGTCAGAGCAGACAGCAAGATGGAAAATTAGAGGCCCTGTCAGTTCCTGTCTTGTGGCTACTGAGGCTTTGAGTCTACAAGCTACAGCCCAGTAAGAGTAGGGGCCCATCTTGCTCATGGCTATCTGCCTGGAGCACTGTAAATGCCTAATACATATTTTCTATATTTATGTTGAATGGCTGCACTTCACTGAATGACAGGTGCTTCTATTACGAGAACACTCCCTTGTCTCAGGCTACACTTCTATTAAGAAGAAGAATGGGGGAAAAAAATCTGAGCCCAGGATGAGCTGACTGATTCAATCCTTCCCAATCACAGTAACCACTTACTGGGTCTGCATGCTGCATTCTACATGCACGAGCATAGTTAGTTCTCCCAGCAGCTCCAGGAGTTGGCACCATTACCTGTCTTGTAAGAGTAAGACAATGGAGGTGTAGTGAAGGATTCTTTGTCTCTTGCTCTTACCTACTATTCTATACAGCCTCTCTGGTTAAAGTCATTTACTAATGGCTAGATTCTAACAAAAAAGGCCTGGTAGCACAGTGGTTAAGCGCTTGGCTTGTAATCTAATGGCCCTGGGTTTGAATCTACAAGCTGCTCCACAGGAGAAAGATGTGACAGTCAGTTTCCACACAGATACAGCCTTGGAAACCCTATGGGACAGAGTAACTGTCCCATAGGGTCACTATGAGTCTGAATCAACTCAATGGCAATGGGTTTGGTTTTTTGGTTTAGATTCTAACAGTCTCCCCAAAGTAGCAGTAAACTCTGTTAATTCTCACAGCCCCATGGTTTCACAAAGACTGTTCATGGAGTTAATCACCTTTGAAAAGGCAGCTTGATTTCCTAAAGCAAAATTCCATAATGAAGTCACTAAGATCCATGTTTCCCCATAGAAACCTCTCACATGCTATACAAACGGTTTTCTCATTCTGTGTTCAGAATTAAGTGGCTATCAGTGGATAAAAACCGTGGCACCTGTGGAAGCTGGAGTCCAGAAATCTATCTGGGTAAGTTATTATTAAATCTTTCATACATACATACATACCCCAAGAACAAATGAACAAATAAAAACTGGTATCTGATAAAAATCCCTGTTGAAAATACCTACTGTTGAAAATATGTTTTTTAGAGGAAAGGAATCAACTCTTTTATCAAATTTAAAAAAAAAAGGAATAAAATTAAAAAGCAATTAAACTTGGTGCCCTTATACAAACAACACGTGAGAACACTATGACTTGCATACCTGAGGTATGATTGACATTTTCTTCCTTAAATCATGAAGTCCAATTTCAGTTGTCAAGATCTTATCAATCCAAATTTTGCCTTCAGGTTCTGACAGTCTAAAAAGGGCTGAAATGAGGGAACTTTTCCCAGCTCCTGTTCTTCCCACAATTCCAACCTATAAAGAGATCCGGCAAGATGGATTAAAAAATAACATCAAGCAACAAACCCAAAAGAAAACCTTGGTTTTTAAAGAGGAATTAAGGAAATTTTATACCAAGCATATTTTATAAGAGTTTCTCAACTCAGGACTGATGACATTTTATAGTGGATAATTTCTGTGTGTTGAGGGGCTGTCCTCTGCATTGTTAAGCAGCATCCTTGGCTTCCACTCACTAGAACAAAGTAGCATCTTCCATTCTAACAATTAAAAATGTCTGCTGACATTGCCATATGTCCCCTGAGGAGCAAAACTGCCTTTGGTTGAGAACCACCGGTTTAAAGAGTTAAAAAGAACAGAATCAGTGTACTGGCAGCGACCCGTGAAAAGTTAGTCTTTAAATTAGCCTTATTCTTACCAGTGATACAAAATACCCACAACCCTCACAGAAACAACAGAAGACAGACATAGAATAATGCCTCATTGATAGCCAGGCATTGTAGAGGAGAGATCCAATGGATCTACTGACTCAAGACCATAGTACCGGGGGACACCAGACTCAATCAGCATATCAAAATACACAAAAGTCTTTTTCCTTGTCCTACATTGGTGAGTAGTGACTGGGGTCTTAAAAGCTTTCAGGTGGCCATCTAAGATGCAGCTAATGGTCTCCAATAGTCAGAAACGAAGAAGAGTGCAAAAAAAACAAAAAACAAAACAAAACAAGGGCATTTGGAAGCAATCAGCCATAGGACACGATGGCCCTCCAGACCAGAAGAACTAGATGGTGCCTGGCTATCAATGCCAATCACTCAGGAAAGGATCAAACCTGGAGGTTCTGGAGAGAGTGGGAAGAAAAACGTGGAACAAAATCCAAAAACTCAATAATAACCAGAATTACTGGTCAGATGGAATCGGGTGATACTCCTGATACTATGGCCCTGAAATACATTCTGAGCCTGGAATAAAGCTCACTACCAGGGGCTGGCTCTCAGCCCAACAGTAAACAAGATGTACATGGAGACCACTCAACCCAGGGTGATGCACCCACATACTCTATGGAAATGCATCCCTTGGAACAATTGACCACAAGACACCAGAGGGGCAATATTCACATGGAGGAAATGCAGGACACACAGGAGTGAAAAGAGGAAAAAAAAAAAAAAAAAAAAATAGCCTTATTCCTAGGTTCAGGGCATTATGAACTCTGAGCATTTGATAATTTCAAATCAGAGGTGCTATATATATACAAGTATTCATTTTTCCAGAGTGCTATCATTGAAGTTGAATTATTCTGTGGTACAGAAACTCAATCACTTCCTGATATTAAATACCTGGCTATGTTCTGTCTTGAAAAGGAACATCTTAAATTTTTTAAATGCACCTCTCAGTGCCTTAAAAGACAGTAACCAGTAGCCAAAACACACATTATGAGACAAACAACAACAATAACATTTACTATTTATATGGAGCCTTTCATCTGGGCAGTTCAAAAGGCATTTTACAAACCAATTAATACTCACAATTGCCCCCTGGGAAAGATACCTATCAAGTATCATGCCCCTTATTAAAACAAAATTAGAGAGGAATTAAGTAAACTGACAATAAGATCAAGGAATCAATATAATACAGATAAAATGTTGGTTAGGAATAAAATGGTATTGTAAAAACTAGCTTTTATATGTGTGCATTTAAACTTGTATGCAGAAACTGTCCATGTTACCAGCAAGCTTGCCCTAATTGTAAATTCACAGATGGCAGCCGCCCAACAGACTACATTATCTTCATTTAGAAATCTGGAATCAATGAAAGGCGCAAGGTACACCTTCAATCATACATAAAATAAAGCCAGTATATTTTACAAACTCACTGCTTTAAACAGAGAGGAACTAAACTTTACTGAGTACTGATAATATGCTAGGAACTTACACATTATCTCACTTGAATATCTCCACATTTTAAAAAATAAACCTATATAATCAATACTAGAATCTCAAAAACAGAATTTATCTTCATACTTATACAGACTAGATTTAAGAAAAGTAGCTTTAACTACTTTTATTATCTTACTACCTTATGGCAAGGAGCTCTGGTAGCATAGTGCCTAAGGCACTTGACTGCTAATCAGAAGGCTGGCGGTTCAAACCCACCAGGACTCCTCGGATGGAAGGTTGGGCAATCTACTTCTGTACTGCCTCGGAAACCCAAGGAGGGATCACTATGAGTCGGGGCTGACTCAACGGCACATAACACCACCACCACCTTATGGCAAGAATTAGCCTATTTTTTACAGATAGGTCATTTTCTGCATAGAGGTAGGTCCTAGCATGCGCACACAAAGAGATATACACACACACGACTCACATGTGTTTCGGGGTATTTCTAAGTGTTCTCATATGTAAATAGACACACACCTCTACCAAAACCAAATTCATTGCTATCAAGTCAATTATGACTCATAGTGTCTCCCACTGGGTTTCCAAGGCTGTAAATCTTTATGGAAGCAGACCACCTCATCTTTTCTTCTGTGGAGCAGTTAGTGGGGTCAAACCACCAACCTTTTGGTTAACTTCCGACTGCCTTAATCACTACATTACCAGAGCTCTTCAATCACATACCTAGACGCAGGCAAATACTATGTTTATGGAAATATGCAGATGATTTCATGCTGTTGGCTCTACAGTAAAGTGACCCATCTGTGCAAACTGGAATATTTGTAGATGACTGCTTGATGGTTGGAGTGTGCCCCTTAAAGACAGGGGACACCAAGGGCTGCCTAAGACCATAAGACTATAAGCTCTGACTTCAGGAGAGAAGAATAAGAAAAACCAACTCAAAGAAAACCTGGCTCTTGCTATTTCTTTCTGCTGTTGAAAGCAGGGCCTCAAACCAGTTTATTCTGATTCAGCCCTTTGCTGGGAATTTGTATTTCCACCTCAGATATTATTAAAAAAAAAAAAAAAAAACACCTCACTGCCATCAAGCTGATTCTGACTCATAGTGACAACTTTTTGGGTTTTTGAAGCAGTATCTCTATGGAAGTAGATTGCCCAATCTTCCTTCTGAGGAGTGGCTGGTGGGTTTGAACTGCTAGGCTTCTGGTTAGCAGTCAAATGGCTTAGGCATTACAGCACCAGAGCTTCTACCTTAGATATAGTGTATCAGAGACATACATTTTAACAAGACCTTAGTGATGCATAAGAATCACCTGAGGATCTATATATGGGATGGAAATGCAAATTCTCAGCAGGGGGCTTGAACCAAAAACTGGTTTGAAGCCCTGACTCAAAGTCAATAGCTCTGTGAAGTGAAAGTCTTTCACAGGTCACCTGGGTTTTACTAATTGCCTGTGGAGAGAATCACCAAGTCAGAAATTTTACATACATAATACCAAAGAGACACTGTTATTTTAGTTGCTTTGGCACTGTCCCTCCATCTTCACACACTAACAACGATGCCAATATGTTTGACATTTGTACCTTGATCAAAACTCAATGGCCCACCCACAATAGCTGTTGCTTTTGACTTTCCAATTTTAATCTCATAACTCAGAAAGCTCAAACTTTCACCTTATTTGAGCCTTCTCCAACTCCAGCCTGGCACCAAGTCCCAAAGGTTCTACTTCTGCATTATTTCTTGACTCAACCCCTTCATTTTAATTCCCATAGACATCACCTGAGGAAAAGGCTGCACTATCTTTTTCAAAAACAAGCAACCCAAAGAAACCTTTTCCCTAATTAGAAGAAGTGCAGATGAATTTGAAAATAGCCACAACCCTGTTATTCTGATAGAACCACTCTTAACATGTTGCATTTCCTTCCTGGACTTGTGTGTGTGCACACATTTGTATGCATCTGTATACAAACATGCATTCCTAAAGATACAAACTCATACTTAAACTAAATGGGATTAATATGAATACATTGTTGTAATCTGTTTTCACTCAATATTACATAAAATATTTATTTTTTAATGGTCACATGACACAACAGTACAGACGATGATTATCAAATCTCCTATATGTGGGTATTCAGGCTATCTCAGATAGTTTGCTATTATAAATAACACTGTTAAATATCCTTGAAGCTAAATCTATGCATATAACCTTAATTATCTCCTTACAATAAATTCTTAGATGTGGAACTGCTGAGAAACAGATATGAACATTTTCAAAAGGGGGCTTTTAAGTACAGTCATGCATAGCTCAACACCCACAATACATTCTGTGAAATAGGACATTATGTGATTTGGACTTTATGTGAACACTATATTATATACAGGCAGTTTCTGGATTACAAACAAGTTCCATTCCTAAAGTACTCTTTAAGTTGAATTTGTACATAAATAGGAATAGTTAGATATGGTTCTTATCCAATGTCAGGTAGTCAAATGTTTTTGTGTTTTTTTTTTGGTATACAGTATATAATATACCTTTCTATACACAAAAACATTAAAGAAACATTTCTAATATACTAAGGTATCTTTAACACAACAATACAGTAGTAATAATGTTTTGGTGTGTGTTGCAAACCAGCATTCACTTGTTATTATGAACCACTGTACATATCTTGAATTTCTAATGTAATAAGCTTTATGTTGGCACCACGAATGTATACATGGTCAGACATTGCCTGAACTGTACTTTACGTAACATATGACTGTACTGCTCAACTACCCTCCAGAAATATGATAACAGTTTATATTCCCACCCATTCTCCTGCACATTTGCACATCTGAGTGTTAGAACTTTGTTTTCATCAGCATTAGCTTGATTCCATACGGAAGAATCCTTTCCCATGATAACTTGCTAAGAGTCTACAATTCCTACTGGCTCCCTCTTCCCATGTCTTCCTATTGTATTCCACGTGGACTCACCTCTCAGATTAATCTGCCGAAGAACAGCTTTGTACTTGTCACGCCACACTGGGAAACCTTGTCCACAAAACTGTTGCAATAAAGTTTTCCATCATTAACCTCAGTAAGTCTGCTTCCTTGGTACTATTAGGTTGTTTTGAGGG